ACAGCAACAGCAACGGCAACGGCAACGGCAACGGCAACGGCAACGGCAACGGCAACGGCAGCAGCAGCAGCAGCAGCAGCAGCAGCAGCAGCAGCAGCAGCAGCAGCAGCAGCAGCAGCAGCAACAGCAACAGCCGCAGCCGCAGCAGCAGCAGCAGCAGCAGGAGCAGCAGCAGCAGCGCCAGCAGCAGCAGCACTAGTAACTAGTGACAAGCTAACACCAACATAAGCAACAGTATCAGCACCAACATTAACACGAACCATAACAACTTCTTCCTTGTCCTTACTTGGCGGAGGTCACCATCGTCGATCCCCGCCCTCCCTTTACCGCGAGCAGCCAGTAGCATCGCTGCCTTGTTGTTGTGCCCGTCTCAGGGACGATTTTTTGGGATATATAGGAGGCTTTTGTGGCATTCCGAACCATCGGCGACGGTTTGTTTAGGGCCTGGGGGCTGGGGTTTCACTGCAACTTCGATTTTTCGGCACGACGTCCCAAACATGCCAGATGCCTTTCCTGACGGCAAAGCAAAAGGAAACCAGAATGGAGAGCAGTAACAGACCAAAATATGTGCAATCACGTTACGACTATAGCACAGCACCCTGAGCCCTCAAACTCCCTCAACAATGACCCTCTCCTTCAAAGGACCTAATAGCATGCGGGGTCTACACCAAGCCCTCTGCCTTTGAACCCTAAACACCAATTTCCAAACCCTAAACCGCAAAGCCATTCTTGTGGAACACTTGTGGAGCTCATACAGAGTCCTGACAGAACACCTCACCTCGCAGCCCTAAGCCCTAAACCCTAAACCGATGTTTTCGGAGGACAGGCGTTTGGCTTCGTTTGACAGGCCAAAAACCCCTCAAAGCCCCACACCATGAAACCCCTCAAATTCTTCAAGACCATGAAAGCTTCAAAACCTTCAGCACCCCCAAAGAGAAGCTAAGCCTCAATGCTCTGAAACCGAAGCAGCCCTCGAGACCTGCAAGCTGACGTCGGGAGACGCGTCCCCTAAACCCTCAACCCTAAACTCTAAACCTTAAGCCCTAACCCCTAAACCCTAAACCCTAAACCCTAAACTCGAAATTGAGTATAGGGTTTTTTGGGTTTAGGGACCTGAGCCGGGAAGCTCCGAGCTTCGGAGTGCAGCTTCATGTAAGGGCCTAAATAATTACCTACACTATTTTGGGGGTTTAGGGTTTAGGGTTGAGGGTTTAGGGTATTTATGGTATATATTTATGGTATAATTGGGCCCCAAAGCCCTATTCTAATTTTTAAGGTCCCGATATTAGGTTTTGAAGATTCCCTTTGAAGATTCCCCTAGGTATTCAACGGAATGCTACCGTGACTTCTTCCTGGATGCGGCGCTTGTGCCGTTTATGTCGCGCTCAGTGGACATTCTGGAAGAACTGGCCAGAAGACCCCAGAGGGTTTCGGAAACACCGGTCTTGGTAATATAGGCGCCTTAATAGTTAGAATAGGGTTTTGCGGGCCCATTA